CCCTTTGGCCCACTGGGAAAAATGATGGTCCCTAATGGCGGGGACCTGGCTAAGCTGCCATTTTATCCGGACCCTTACCAGCTGCTCTATGGGCCCCAGCTGCTGGCCTACCCCTATAACCTGGCGGCTCTTCCTGTGGCTCTGAATATGATGGCACCTGGAGGGGACAAGGTGGAGCCTCTGCCTTTCCTACCCGCCATCTTCAACTACGCAGCCACTGCTGGGCCTTACATGGGCGCAGCCCCTCACCCCCTTGTGGCAAATCCTGGCCTTTACAGCAACAGCGGCAGCAGCAGCAAGAAGCAACGAGACAGCAGCAGCAAACCGTAGGACACAGAAGCACTATAAGGAATATATTTCAATGGGGACGGCCTGGCCTGTTTAGGATGGGAGCGGCAGGGGTGCGTGCTCACTGGGTCACTGAGTACACTCGCACAGTACCCCTGCCTCTCTTTTATTCAGTAGAGATCAGTGCTAGGCATTAAATCTGGAGTAGGTTGAAGGGAGGAGAATGAGCAAAGAAACGGGGAGAGAGGCCGATATTATAGTGACGTATCATTACTCCCCTCTCTTTACTCTTGCTCACCTTTCTCCGTGTCTCTCCTGTCTTGCTGTAGTGTGTCGTAGTTCTAGAGCTTGATTAATCTTCCTCTCTGACTCATTATATTATCTATAAGAATAAGAACTGCTAACAGGGTGTGTGTTGTGTGAAAAATTAGTTCAGTATGCTTCCCTTTATAGTCACCGCATAACGAGGATAAACGCTCTTCAGGGAAGGCTTGTGTGGGCAAGGATAAGGAATGAGACTGAAGAGTCCTTACTCAACTCAGCTGGAGGTGGCGCATTAAGCAACTCAAACCTTGCATATGTTTGTATGAGCAAATCAGAATGCAGGTGTATCCTGTTGTTAAACTGTCCATGAAAGTTATATATGAGCATGTACATGCACATGTACGCAGGGATTTGTGCATGCAGAGGGGGGCTTAAGCAGGTATTACTGCATATGTGTGAAAGTGAGTGTGTGTGTTTGTGAGTGATGAAGTATGTGCGTGAATGACTAGATCATTCCATGTGAGTCGCACACAGCATTGCTACTCTAGTTGGAATAGCTACTGTAGGTTAATGTGTAGAAGTGCATTTAGAAGTGAATCCTCATATCCAAATCACTAAGAAGTCAATGCTATGGCTGGACGCAAGTCTATGACAATGACAGATCATCTGAGCTTCTAATGTCTCAACTAAACTGGCGACTTTTTGGCCGGATGACACTGTAGGATCTGTATAGCATTCACCATAGTTTAAACCTTATGTGCACAAAATAGAGAAGTAGTGATCACTTAAAGGGGACACTTGTAGCTGCTTTGGATATGTAGCTGGCCAATGGGTAAGAATTAAAGGCTGGTAGACCGTTGCACTTCCATTTCTCATCTCATTTCCTTCACATAAAAAAGGAAAAGAATAAAAACCAGTCCACCTTCATCTTGCGTAGCCTTTTCCTCTTTGATTGGAAGAAAAGAAGGCTCCAGTTCCTAAGCCAGGAAGAAGACAGCGATAGCAAGGAAGGAAAAAGAAAAATGGATTCAGGGTGTTGTTTCTGGATAGGAAATGAAATATGTGGGCACAAAACTGTGGGACTCTGAGTCAGAAGGACCCACAGAAATGACTTTGGGGACAAAATACATAGTCCGGCTTCCCAACTGAGGGGAGATTGGAGATAGCCTGAACTATTTCCCCTCCTGCCCTGTGTCATTTACTAAGAGGTAGAAAAAGGCTGAGCTTAGCAGCCAAAGTGGTGGCCGAAACTCCCCAGGTGGCCTGGGGCCTTTTTGTTATGTGTAATGTTATCTCTATATGTTTGTTTTGTTAAACGATGCTGTTGTTTATGTTGTTTAGCCCTCTTACCAGATGGACATGGCTTCAGTAAAAAAGGGGGAGTAAACTTAAAAATATGAATGTAAATTTAGTCATGAGGTTAATGAAGTACAGCTGCATTAATTATAGAGTTGGTTTCAGTTCCGTTTTGTTTTCTGTTTTGACACAAATAACCTGTTAAAGAACCGTATAACGTCTGGTATGCATATATACAGTAGTCCTAGGAACATGTCAGTAAACTTGGGTTCTGTATCCACAAAGCATGAGCAACACTTGCTTCCTAACCGTTTATATCCTCAGCAAATCTGGCATCGTGCGCACAGCTTTTGTTTCTGTTCCCTTCTATATTTTCTGGCCTTTTCATCTTCCATATCTCTGTTAATATATATGTATTTTTTTTACGCATTATAGACCGCAGTTTGGAAATATTCCACAAAACTAGCTGCCACATTTATGTCTCACAGTCACTATTTAGGAGCTGGAGTTGAATTCTCCCTCCTCCCCCAAGCCTACACCCGCGCTCTGCACCTCCTCTGAATGAAGTACGTGTGTGTGTGTGTGTGTGTGTGTGCGTGTGCGCGTGCGCATGTGTTTGTGATGGTACTGGGGCACCTTTTGGTTCAAACGGGAGTGTTAAAACACATGTGACCAACTGCAGGGGCGCACAAGCCATCCCCTTGGGTGTGGTTACAAGCCTTTTGCGTGCAGGCGTACGTGGTTTGTGTACGAGAGTGAGTGACTGTGTGAAGAAGAAAACCAAAATACTGTAAATCTGCCTGAGCAGCATATCCCTTGGCAGTATATGGGCTACCTGTTATTTTTTTTTTGTTCTTTGACACTTTTCCTGTGGGTTAGTTTCAGTGTAAAAAAGCCTTGCTGTCTCCAATTCACTATCTCAAGCCATTCCTGTAGATGGACATGTTTGTGTTTTTGGACCATTTCTTATGCCATAGTTTGCCATCACGGTTATCATACAGACCAAAAGCATGCAAATCGACGTATTGTAGTGACTGGACTGGAATCTGGTGGTAATATACAAATATTTACTGTATGTTTTAGTTTAAATGAATGTGCCTCTGCTTTGATATTTAAGTAATTATCTATAGTAAGATGTGGATCTGCCAGATTTCAACTGATAAGGTGCCTTGATATGGCATAAGAAATTTAAATAGTAAATGAACATTTTTCTTGAGAAATGACAATTTGGAGATAGATTTCATGGCTTTATTTGCTATGAAGCTGTTCATAGACGTAGGGGTGTGGCTAAACTGTTTTGGTATCGTGTACATGTCTAGGGTAATACTGTGCCATATAGAGCCCACAAAATATGTTAATGTTATTTTTAAAAGATGTTTTAATGTTGCCTGATGACTTTGTCTTTAGATTTGATACAAAGGCTTGTAGCCACAGCTCTCCCAAAGTCTGTAGTCTCCTTTTTCCGACATTCTTCTTGTTCTCTCTCTCTCCCCTTGTTTCCGTCTCCCCTTCTTTCTCTTTGCTGCAATCAAACAAAATAAAGTATTAACCTGATGACCCAATGAAATCAGCTCTAGTCTGGCCTCATATTTTTTTAGTTTTAAACGATGTCTCTATTAATCTTTACAAGTTGATCCAGAGTTCTTAATCTGAACCATGTGCAACAACAAGTTGGCGGGTGCCTGTTCTCACATTGTTTGATCCTCCCTGTGAATTCTCCAGCAAAATGTGCATTTAAGATCTAGTCATTTGGTAAAAGCGCAATAAATTGTGAATTTAGCACTTTCTGCACATGGTTTATTGTTTGGTACTTCCCTCACCGTTCTTTCAGTGTCAATTTAATGTCTTCTGTGTTTCCACAGTGCACAGTCATGTTTCTCTAAATTTATAAAAATACACTGTGTTCTGTAATTTGTTCCTCACATGTAAACAGACAGGCAGCAGGATTTCTTATCATCCTTGAATGATCACACTCCCACTAGTGACACTTAGTGGTTTAAACAGAAACGGTCGGCTGGGTGACTCGCTCATCTTTGCAGTCCCAGAACATGATGTCAGAGATAATTTCTTTTGACAAAATTGACTGTGAATGAAAGTATTTCAGAAATTGAGTATATTTCTCAAAACATCCATCATGAAATGTCAAGGGTGAAAAAAAAATGCATTCAAGGCCTCTGGGATGGTTCTGTTTTAAAGTCACAGTGCTCTTTTGCCAATAATACATTCAGTTTTTCTGCAGTGAATAAGTTTACCTCAGTGGATCTTTTTCACAGCAGACATGTTGACTTGTCTCGGAGGATAAGCACAGGTGTTACTAATAACATTAACAACATCTCTGTTCAGGTGTCCCAGTAAGCTATTACAATGCGCCAGCATGCACAATATCAGGACACTGAAACTTGCTCAGCTAAATGGAATGCAGCCTCCATTATTGTTATTGTTTACACATGTGATTTTCTTAAGGTGACATCAAGATGTCTGCTGTGAAAATCTGCACATACTCAGTGACAGTTTATAAACTTGCATCAGATGTTGCACACATGAGCAGGAGAAATGTTGTGTTTTCTTGTGATTTGACATTTCAGATTAACTTCAAATACTCAATTGAATTAATGGGCTGTTGCTGATTGTACTTTTCTGTGTGTGTGTGTTGCACTTTTCCCAGTATTTCCCTTTTTATCACAGCCTTCCTGGAAGGAGACTGTATCACGGGAATGCAGCCAACGGAAGAGAAAAAAGAGTTTTGTGGCTTGAAGCACAGATCCCCTCTAAACACACACACACACACATACAATTAGAGTTAGAGTTAGAGCCAGCAGTGGTGAATCAAGGTTCCTGTGCAATGGGTAAACACACATCAGTGGTCTGGCTAAGGTCACTCACCCTGCCTGCAGTTGTTCACTCTACATTAGTCACCACAAAGGCAGGAGACTGACAGATTGAGGGAAATGCACACTTTATTAAAACGTTTTGTTTGCTGAATTAAGAATAATTCATATAACAGCCTGTGTGACATGTTTTCTTTCTGCCTTTCACTCTATAGCTCCTGTGTTTGCCCTCTGCCCACTCTATCTTTTACACATCAGTCACAACCACAGAGAGGGCACTTTCTCTTGGGGTACGATGACCTGCAGTGATCATGGCATGTTTGTCCTCTGGACCCCGGGACAGTGTGCCAGGACACACGACCTCTTCACTCACATGTTGCAGAGTCTCTGCTCCTCATCCCACCACTGACACCTTAGGGTAGCTTGGAGTCTGCGGACCACCCAAGGGCTCGGGAGACTGCACACTGGGAGGCCTGGGTGGGTGAATGCTCTGAAGGATGGCCGTGTTTTGGAAAACAATGGCAGGTGGACTGCTGCTGGCTTTGAGCCTCACGCTGCTGTTGGGAGCCGAGGGGCAAGGGAACGGACGGGGTAAGGTATGTTCACATGCAATGCCACGATTATAATGCCTGGAATGAATACTGGTATCTGTGTGCGTTGTGTTAAAATGCTCTCATCAGTCTTAATTTAAAAACAGTGGAAAGTCCAATATCACAATGGTGTTTAAGTGATCCATGTGTATTTTGTAGCTTTAATTAAGTCCCTAAATCTAGGTAGAAGCACAAACTGTTCCTGCGATGTGTTTTTGCTTGCTTTAAAATTACTTAATCACCTAGTCCTTAACTATTTGGGAATATCTGTCTCAGAACATCTTGGACAATTTTAAAAAGACTGTAATGATGCATTACTTCATTTTTTTCTAGCAAAACATCCTCTGTGTTCTATGTTTTATAGTTTTTTGAAAGATGGAGGATAGACAAAGTGCAGTATGTAAGCCAAATATTAACCAGTAAAACATGAATCAACTCATCCTGCATTCACTTCAGATGTCAGTCTTAGATGGGTATCCCAGCATGCCCAAATAATAATTTGTTTAGACTTAGAACTTTGCTCAGTTTGTGGGCGGACAAATAAGCAGAATAACCACAACACTGCCAGCCATTTTTACCACACGGAATGATTTCCCTCCATTTCGTGGGTGGTCATTGACTATATATATATCAGTATATTCTGTAATTTTATTCCTTCAGGCTCTCTTGTCAATGGCTCCACATTGATTTTGCACTTCATTACTACTTAAGAAGTTGAGTGACCGCACTTCTCTTGTTAAACAGTAATTAAGTGTTTTAATTAAATCAATAATTGAATAAAATCCATTACTCTGTTTAATATGGTTTTAACCACTAACCAAATCAAAAAATCTGACAAAAAGAAAATTCAAAAGCAGGGTTTAATGAATGTGAGCTGTGTGGAATAAGTGTTACCTTATGAACATTGTGTCTTCCAGAAAGAAGTATCAGGCAGGGCTACCGTCTACCTCGGCCAGGACAGAGACATCTGGAGCCCACTGGTCCACACAACAGTCAACCTCAGTGAGATCAGCAGGTATATCAGGAGGAGCAAATCACTGTACCGTGAAGGCTTCACATGAACTACTCACTGAAAAGTTGTGGTAAAAGAGGCAAAAAAAGGGCTTTTGCATATTTGACATTGAAACAGGACCTGGGAGCTAGTTCAAAGTTTGCAGAAAACTTTCAGTGCAAGCAGTGTGAGGAGAATATGTGGAAGCAAGTACAGGAGCAAGTTAAGAATTCTGGGCCTGCTGGAGGATTGTTGATCCTGGCTCTCTTCTTTTTAATAACATAAAAATTATATAACCCTTCATTATATTGCCTTTCTCCAGCTGTAGGCCCATAGAACTATCACTGAATTTTACCCCTGCACTGGTCTGAGTAAATTGAAAGCAAAAATATTGTTGGTCAGCAATAAGATTTCAAACGCCTAGAAAAAGTAATCAAAAATAGGGAGTCTAATCGTCTATGGACCAGCATTCCCTTGAGTTTAAGACTATTCTGCTATGTTTTTCTGTTTCTGCAGTATTAAGTCATCTTTTCAGTTGCGGACATTTGACCCAGAAGGCGTCATTTTCTATGGAGACACCAAAAACGGGGATGACTGGTTTGTTTTGTCCCTGAAAGATGGCATCCCTCTGATGCAGATGAGCAAAGAAGATACTCTTGTTAGTGTGGCAGGCGGCCTTAAGCTCAATGACGGAAAATGGCACACAGTGAGTTTCAAGTATAGTAAAAAATTTCTTTTTATCAAAAATTTCTTTTTGAAATAACATCTCAGAAATAAGTTATTTTGCCCTGGAAACAAGTAATTATATTTATTTGAAGATTCAAAATTGAATTAAAATGGACATTATAATAATAATCATCATACAGTATACTGGACAAGTATTGCAAAGCAGGAACTTTTAGTCTGAATTCTTCTTGTTGCTCCTGGTGCCACCAAGCTTGAGGTGAGCAACCAAGAGAAGTTTGTGATTTAGAGGTGGACGGCTCGAATAGGCTGGTGCTGGGCATGCAGTCCAAACAGACAGAGGAGGTCCTTTCAGGTGAACTCCGACTGGCCCTCGGCGGGGTCCTGATGGACAAGGAAAAGCTATTTGTTCAGGTATAGTGTGTTAATCCACTCTGGGATACTTAACATTTTTCTTTTATCTGTCTTGTTCAATAGATCCCATTAATTATTTTGGAATGATTTGATCAACTTTGCATCGACCTGATACATCCGCAGCACAGACCTCTGTTTGTATGATGATAACCTGCAGGGACAGAGAGAGAGAGCATTATTAAAAGTGGTACAGGTAGTGTTGTAGTCAAGACTAAGACCAGAGTTTATGGAGACTGAGACAAAACCAAGACTTTTAGGGGCTGAGACCAAGTTTAGATCAAGACCGGGGGAGGGCAAGACCGAATCAAGACCAAGATCTGTTCCCCGCATTACATGACACACAATAAAATGTGAAATGAGATCATGGGTAGGGGAGAGCGGGGTAAGTCGTCTCGTGTGTAAGTTGTCACACTGCTCATAACTCCAACACTAGAGGCTCTATGTCAAAAATAAAATAGCCATTTTGTGTGACTTCTTTTTCTATGTTCAACTTCCTGTTCACATGTGGTCAAGGTCACTCTAATCTGAAGTGAGCACAATCTTATTATTTTTTTGCTCGAAAAGTAAAACATTTGCACTTCACATTTTATGTATTCCAACCTTATTAGGTATGAATGTTCAAATTGATAACTTTGCACAAAGTTGAGGAGACAATAACGTGTCTTTTGATACTTCAGCTGAAGTGCTATGTTAAGCTAACCTTGAGAGATTTAGCTGACATTAGCACACATTTTAGGAGCAAGTTGTCTCAATGACTTTGGGGCAAGTCGTCACATGTGATTAGCTGCCCCAGTACAAATAAATTCATAGAAAATGCTCAAAAAACTATGTGAAATTGTGTAATTACCTCTGACACAAGTATTAAATGATACTGTAAATAGAATATTACACACTGTAGTTTACAGCAGCAGCCATATGCCTTGACAAGACTGAATTCATGAGTATATACAGTCTTATACCGTAGGCATGTAGTATGTTAGTAGATACAAACACACACACACTACATGATCCAGTTATTAATTTAGTTAGGCAACAAGGGTAATAGACAAATAAGATTGTAATTAATTTGTAATTGCAAGGAGGAATGTGTTTTTGAAGGAAGGAAGAAAATTATCAACTGAAGACAGAGAATGGCAGTACACCGCCTGACATAATGTTAAAGACAGTCAGGCAGATGAAGTTGAAGAACAAATCAATCAGAAGTACAGCTAAGAATTTTGACGTAAGCCGCCGACATCTCTTTTGGCCTCATCTATGTGGAGCCCTTTTCATACAATATTCGAAAGAAGACGTTGTTTAAGTGTGTGAAATGCAACAAATGGGCCTGCGATGTTTGCACCTCAGGCCAGGCAATTTATGTGTGCCAGAACTGTGACACTAAAGACATGTCTGATTAGTCAGATACATATGTAGGTCGTACAAAAATGCACATTGTTGCATTAGTGTGTTTAAACACCACATCTGTTTAGTTAAGTTATACATTTAAGCAAGTTATCTGCAGCATTACATTCAATTAGAGAACGTTTGATTTTAAAGTTCAATGAAAGAGGTTGTCACACTTAATGTGTGCTCTGCCAACATTTTTGTTTTGAATGAAATTATTTCTTTTCCAAATTCTCTAGGCTTGATTGTTGATTGATTTTACTTTTAGTTCTGGTTACAATTTGAAATTGAAATCAATATTCACAATTAAGTGTTCTAACTGTTTGATAATCCAGTGTGACAACTTACCTGCTAATGGGGCAAATTGTCACAAGTGCACACTCTCTATTCAACAGTCTACAGCTCCATAATGAGATAAGATATGTAATGAATACAAAACTTCTGCCCAAGACTTCATTCTTTCATTTGGTATGACATTGTACCATTGTGATATACGGTGCTCAGTAAATATTAGATGGTGTGAAAAGTGTGACAACATACCCCGCTCTCCCCTACTTCTCAAATTGATGTGAAAGATTGACATTCCCATTAAAACACCCAAATACAAACACTAAGAGCTAAAATCAGCGTAAGCGTCTTTATCCAACACTCCTTTTCCATGCTTACCATTCCGGGTATGGGTGACAGTCGTTAACGGTAACAACATATTTTTAATTAGGGTTATTCGTTGCATTTGAAGAAATACTTTTTACATCCAATCAAAGTTGGGATGTTAACAAATAAATCACACAATGTAAAAGCAATTTATTGATATTCCCAAAGTTATGGTCTTGGCTGGTCTTGAAATAAAATCCAGAGTCCTCAATGTCCGAGACTGAGTACAAATGCGGTCGAGTCCAGACGAGACCAAGACCATCAAAAAGTGATCTTGAGTACTAAAACATTAGATACAGGTTGTACAAAAACAGCCAGAGAGAATGATGTTTCTTTTGATGAAATGTTACAACCTTACCCCCTTTCTCAAAACAATACAAATATCCCCACTCAAAGTCAGCTTACAAGATTCAAGGTTTATTTTATTGTCATTTTACAACACAGGCTTGCACAATGAAGTTTAATCCCCTTCACCACATATACAGACACATAGTACATACTGTATATACAAATGTTTAATTTAAACAGAACAGAATTAAGTACAATAAAATAAAACATACACAATTACTTGAATACCTATACATGTCACAGCGCATTGTAGCTGCAGCTGTGTTTTGTACCAGCAGCCTGTGACAGGACTGTGAGAATGTGCACTGAAAAATGACCATGAACAATCTTGAACATTTCTGAACCAATCACTCTCCCTGCTCCCCCGATCATTCCCCTAAATGCATAGTTGCGTTCTTTGCCATAGTTCGAGCCACAGATGGACGGCTGTGTGCGGGAAGGTAACTGGCTAAACCTCAGCCTCCCCTGGGAGACAGAGGCGGAGGAGCTGTGGCCCTGCTATCAAAACGTGCAACCTGGCAGCTATTTCCCTGGCACCGGATTTGCCATTTTCAACACCTCAGGTGGGAACATTGTGCTCCATTATACAAGACATGGGCAAGTGCTAACACTCCTTCAGTAATAACAAGCCTTCCACCAGGCCTGGAAAATGCATTCTTGTATGGCATGACATCTTGGGTAGCAATATTGCATCTGTTTATTTATAATTAGCTGCAATCAGATTTAACATAATGAATAAATGTACATGCCTTTTTCTGGATGGTTAACAAGTCCCTCCAATACAAATTAATTATTATTTTCATGTTGTGAGTTATTTTTTGTTCCTCTGCAGTTTTCCCAATTGAGTCAGATGATGGGGTCATGGCTGAACTGCTGGGAGATTTCAGTAAGATGGATGGGACCATTTTGAGCATCAAGGCTCCTGGGCAAGACCTCATGTTCGCTTTAGTGGCCAATAATAACAAAGAGGTGTGCACACAAATCAGATACGAGTCACACTGAATTTGCTAATAATTCCTAGCGTCTATTTAAAACTGCTCGTGGTGCTGTGAAGGGTGGCTTCATAGCTAGGTGAACATTTCGCTTCATCATATACTGAACAAAATTATAAACTGAACTCAAAGATCTAAGACTTTCTATATGTACACATATTCTCTCAAATACTGTTCAGAAATCTGTCAAAATCTGTGAGTGAGCACTTCTCCTTTGTCGAGATAATCCATCCACTAGGTGTGGCATTTCAAGATGCTGATCAGACAGCATGGGTATTGCACAGGTGTGCCTTAGGCTGGCCAGAATAAAAGGCCATTTCTAAAATGTGCAGTTCCATCACACAGCACAATGCCACAGATGTCGCAAGAGGGAATTGGCATGCTGACTGCAGGAATGTCCACCAGAGCTGTTGCCCATGAATTGAATGTTCATTTCTCTACCATAAGCCGTCTCCAAAGGCGTTTCAGACAATTTGGCAGTACAAATACTCACATTCGATGGCGTCTGGCACTTGAGAGAGGTGTTCTCTTCATGGCTGAATCCCGGTTTTCACTGTACAGGGCAGATGGCAGACAGCATGTATGGCGTTGTGTGTGTGTGAGCGGTTTGCTGATGCTCCTGGACCCCCCAATACAGTGAAACTGCACATTTTGAGTGGCTTTTTATTGTGGCCAGCCTAAGGCACACCTGTGCAATACCCATGCTGTCAGATCAGCATCTTGATATGCCACACCTGTGAGGTGGATGGATTATATCGGCAAAGGAGAAGTGCTCACTAACACAGATTTTGACAGATTTGTGAACAATATTTGAGAGAAAAAGGCCTTTTGTGCACACAGAGAAAATCTTAGATCTTTGAGTTCAGCTCATGATGAATGGGGGCAAAAAGTGTTGCGCTTATAATTTTGTTCAGTGTACATACACACAAACACACATGTGAACACACAGATTGGACACCACTATGCATTCATCCACATAGTTCTTTCTCCTGTCTCTCTTTTGAATTTGCAGGAGGTGACGCTCACCTTTGGTAAAGATACAGTCAGCATGAAAGACAATTTCAAGCGACTGGTTATAACCTTTAAGACAGATTTACTGCAAGTGCTCCAAGATGAAGATGAATCAAACACCACTACGTTATCTATGAGGCCTGAGAGCCACCCTGATTATCTGACCACATGGAGAGAGGGTCGTCTTGCCGTTGGAGGTCTCCTAGGTGAGATTAAACTGTGATGATGTGCAGTCTTGAATCATTTCTGAACTGCTACAGTCTTCAAATCAATCTTAGATTACTGTTCAAAAAAGAGGAATTTGATTTGCAGACAGGGCTTATAGAATAAATATGCAATAAAAAAAATAATAACAACATAAATAACATTGAAAGCACAAGTTGCAATAAAATATATGTCCTTACAGAAAATCCATTGAGGCCAGACAAGGAGCTTCACGGAGTGTAATGCAAGGTTACTTGTGTTTGACTGTGTCTCGTTTTACTTTTCAGGCGAGGGTGAGGACAATGTAGGCTCCCAGTTCTTGACAGGCTGTCTGGAGAAGATTCGGGTCCAAGGGAGGGATTTGGACCTCGATTTAGCTGTCAAACACATGTCGATCTCTTCTCACAGCTGCGCTGCATAGACCATGAAAGTATGCATGTACAATATGTGGACTAGATGCTGGCAGGGGATGCCCTCTGGGTTCACTACAATGATTGCAAAGTGCAGAATTGTCTATAAAATGACAGAGGAACAGTAGCCAGAGCACAACAATACCCTAATAACCACTAAACCCTCTTATTAGGCTACTAATAGTCTGTAATTGAATGTGGTATTTGTACCAATTCTTCTAAAACATTAATATGTTGTGCAAAAAATATCTATCCCATTAGCCCGATTTTAACAGAATATTCTGATTAATGTGAGTGGTTTTGTGACTTTGGTGCATCTAACAGTATGTTTCTAATAAATTATGATTCTCCTTAATGATGGCTATCTATGAACGTGAATTTTACTGCTGATTTGAGGCAAAATAAAGGCTAATAGTGCTTTAAGGAGATTAAACTAAACTAAACTATTGGATTTGATTAAAAACACTAAAGTTTTATGGCTGATTAGCAGAGAAAAAGGGGGTTAAGAAGTCATTTTTACCTCAAACCCAATGCTCGTTACTTATTGAGAAAAATTTAGCTAGTATTCAATATTTGTAACAACAACAAATTAATTTATTAGCTCTAATTTAACTTTTGTCTTTTCATGAACAGACTGTTGAGTAGGAGCAGTTGTTTTTAAAACACCACATTTATGTTTAGAAATAAATTCTTATAAACTGAGACTTGATGAAAACACCCATGGAATGTTGTTTACCTTCTGGATAGAAATTATAAGGGAGGATGTGGAGTACCGTGGCTATCAGAGTTCGTTACGTTGTTTTTCCTGAACTGATTTTAAGGGTATGTACGACATTACATTAGGTAGGCTTTATTGTAAAATAATCCCTCAATTTGCAGCACTCTGGGCCGGGTCAGACTTAAACAGAGCAAACAGCATAAACAGCTCTGTTTAAGTCTGACCCGGCCTCTGTCATGCTGCTGCCCTGTTTATCTCCCTCTGCTGTTGTGCACCTCTACAGGAGAACCTATTATGATATATGATATAGGCTTAGCTCAATTATTGATGTTATAACTGTCAGTGTAATTTTGATTTAATAGAACTTCTATTTTGCTAAATAGGGCCTGTATATATTTTATGTAGGCCTATCACTTTACTGGAGTAGATGCAGACATTAAAATCACCTCGCCTACTGAATGTCCAGTTCATAGAAATAAGAATGAGACTGAGAGATGAGATTTAACACATGAAGTTTGCTCCATCTAGTGGACTTTTAAAGACAAAATTAGAGTCATACCATCCACTGTGTATGATTCACACAAACAATAAAACAACACTAGATTCATGTAATCTAATTATCATCTAATTAATAAAAATTGTCAATGATTTTAATGCTCCTTTTTCTTTAATTAAATATTTATTAAGCAAAATGCACGTGTGTAAAAGTAATGTGTTAAATAAGCACAGAAAGAAAAGGAAGGGAGACATTTGAATATTCATTAAATTACTCAAAATCACAATCATTACAGTTTTTCACATCAGTAAGATTTTGAGGAATGTTTTTAGATATATTCTTGCGGATTAAAATGCAGGCTATTACACAATAGCCTACATTTTAACGTGTGTACGTGTGAAATGTATTTAATAAAGTTGTTGATGATGATGATGATGATATGGGTGAAGAGAAACAGGCTTAATATAATCTCTTTATTGTCCAAAATTCAAGTAGAAGCATTTAAAGCATTTTAAATAGGCCTAAAACATTCAAACTAACCAATCCTACAACATAAAACACATAAAGAAAATATATTTTATCTATGAAATCAACCGTACTAGGGGAGACGGCCCTCAATTAATATAAATAAGTAAAGACGGGGGGTGTTAAGGCCTTTTGTCCTTCACACACTATAAATATTTTGGCAGATATGCAGTTCAGTCTTCTTCTTGGTCATTTGCGGTATTTATATATGAATAAAATGTCCACCGAAGTCAAAATGTTTTACCTTCAGAGGACACCACATTCATCATTTAGACTAAAGCCAAAAAATAAAAACAAAAAATCGTACATTTCAGACAGAAACAGGGCTAAAATTAAATATGAAGGCTTCGATTTCTATGAAGCTTAAATATAAACGTTGTATTTAGTGTTTAAATGTCATATTTAAAACAACACCATTGTTTGCAGACAAGTGTAAAGCTTAAAATGAATGTTTTAGCCATTGTATTACAGAGCTGGGTGCGGCGCTGTGAGTGTGAAATCTACCGTCTAACATAACGTTACTGTCGCAAACCCCGAGTGTCGTGAACACTGGCCGCCCACTGAAGATGGCGGCGGAGCTGCATCCGCGGAGCGGAAAGCTGATCGGCCTGTCCAACTCGAACCGAACCGCCCGGCGCAACCAGCCAGTCCAGGAGTTCAACCACGGCCTGGTGCTTAGTAAGGAGCCGCTGAGGGACCGGGATGTCTTCACCGTCCGTATTGATAAGAAGGTAAACAACAACAGGCCTGCCGCTGAGCGGGGATGAGAGCAGCGGGAGCCGCGCTGGTGGGACGGGCCGGTGTCTCGGTCCGCAGTGAGGGGCTTCACCGACCCGGGGCGGTTCACACGGCTTGACAGCGACCACGGCTGTCGCGGATTGTTCAGGGGCGATTTGCAGACACTGTCGGATATTTGTCACAGGCGGGCAGGCGGACCTGATTAACACATCGATAGGTGTGATCACTGAGCTATCGATAACCTGTCCGCGTTGCCTCGGTTCCGCCAGCTAGCTATGCTAATGAGCCGCTAGCAGGAGCAGGCGGTGCGATCTCAGGCTAGCCCGGGCTAGCTTTTCTAAAAGCTGCTACTGGGGGCTCTGTGTGTTGATAAGGACTTGTTTATTGTTCTACAGCAGTGAGTTAAGTGAGCTGGTGAACGTGTCTCTGTTTAGTTTTGTGTTGAAGAAGTCGATGACAGCCGTAGCTGCCAGTCCGTCCCTGAGGCTAATAATATACTGCAGTGCTCATACTACCAGGCTGGGCTACTATCCTACTGACTCACAGGCTGTCTGTGAACCTAAACAAACACAGTTAGCCGCTGCTGTCGTCTACCCGTGTCATTAATAACATCCAGAGTTCCGTGTTAAAGGACTCGGCTTGACCTCTTGGTGAGTCTTGATCCATATTCAGGCATGAGGAGGTTGACCACTAAAAGCCATAACTCTGGTGCAAACATACACTCTTTCAGCCTCATTGCTGGGACATTTGCTTTTAATTTAACTTTATTTGGACCACTTTTTATCCCAAAGAATAGGGGATCAAGTGGAGTATACATTTCTTACTCTACTGTTTTTCGGTCCATATTGTCCTTTGATGAATCCAGATCCAGTTATGATAGTGTCCTTGTTGTTTCCACAGAGGGTGATCAATTTCTCCCATTTTCTGGGAAGGCCTCCCTCTCATTCCTTAACCTAAAATGTCCCTTAAGGTTTAAGCATATATTCCTGGTAGCCTTTCATAGATCGTCAACATAAGTGCCTGTCTATGTGCTCAATGTGACTCAGGTCTCTGTCACATCACACAAGCCTGTGCACAGTGTTTACTTTTTGGCTTTTACAAGCATAGGGGAGCTTTGTCTGTTGTAGTGGCCTCTACAGTCATGCAACCATACTGGGTTTGTCAACAACATGGCAGCCCTTGAGCCTGAACAGGCGCCAACTGCCCGACCCCCCGACCCCCCGAATGACAGTGTGTCCAGTCAAGACACACAGTCATATAGTTCTTCAGGAAATCTACCACGATGAGGCGAAGCTGCATGTGTGCCAGTAAAGCTAGACATGCGGTTTAATAGCACCTACTGTACGTATATGATTGTCCACCGTTTATGGCGCTCTCCGCCTGATAAGAGCTCTCATAAACAGCCTCATGCGCTGTCGTGACATGCACTGCCTGTCTGACAATCAATACTTTTCCATCACAGAGTGCCGGATTGGCATGACTGCCCATACTGTCTACTGCCATCCACTAAGCTACAGTGGATTTTGATAAACGAGAAACTTATGCGATGTATTTGACAGTTTGTCCAGGGTGCAACACTGTCAGTGGTTTTGGGTTTGTATTTAAAGCTGTGGTCCACGAAGGGATCTAGAGGGTTGATCCAACTTTGAGAGAAAGAACATGCCTCTCGCATATTGTGCTGCTTTTTAAAAACTTATATGATTGTAATCTGAATATCTCTGGGATTTGCGCCGGTTATCATATAAAACTGGCTATTTGATGCTGTCTCTGGGGTTCTGACGAGTCGGGACAAACACTTTTCACTATTTTGTGGACTAAGCTATTCATCGCTATTAATTGAGAAATTATTGGCCGATGGATCGAGCCTGAAAAAAATAGTTTGTTGCAGCACTTTAGCCAATACTAGCCTCAAAACCCAACATCAATGTCATGTTCTGTTTTGTTGGCGATATTATGCCCTAACTAAGACTTAATATAATAATAAATATCCACGTTAGTTAAAATTGGTGTGGACTTTATAAAAAAGCCATGCATTTCTAATATAAAGGAGTTTAGTGTGGTACTGTCAAAATCATGTCAGTATTTAGAATTATTTTATATATATATATATATATATATATATATATATATATATATATATATATAATTAAAACCTGGTTGTTTCAAATGTTAATATTCACCTTTCCCTTATACAGAGTTCATCTGTTATGTTTTGTGTGTGTGTGTGTGTGTGTGTGTGTGTGTGTGTGTGTGTGTGTACGGTCTGTATTGTCTCAGCAGTGCCCTGCTTTTGATGCAATTAATTTTTTATTCTTTTCGAAAGCTGCCCAGTGCTCCTGCCTGGCGTGTATGGCTGTATCCTGTAGTTATTGGTCGTTTGAACAGCGAGAGAGACTGAGAGGTAGACACCCACAGGCTGTTGTTACATAAGTGAATGAGCAAGGGAAGGAGATGTCTGTCTCCTCCACACAGCGACCCGGTCAGGCTTACTTCTAAATCTGTTAACCCAGATACCCGGGGCTAGCACACTGCCTTGCATAGCACCTGCCACACGGCTGAAGAGCACACCACGGGAACAGGTGAAGGAGGGAAACGGGACAGTATTTAAAAAAATTATATTCATCTTGGAGATCTCCTCGGTGTGGAGGTGAGCTGCAGAAAAACATCTCGAGAGCTGGTGGGGCTTCAATGTTACGCTCAAGGTCACTTCATCTGGGTGGATTTCTGCCAACTTAAACCAGAGTCCTGTGGAGTACCAGGGGAAACGGGGAGTGGTTGAATATTGATCTTAATGTTGCAGAACACTTTTGAGTCGCTTCTCTTTTCTTGAGAAACAAGCTGCATGGCTTTTTGTTGGATGTCGTGACGTGGGTTCATGCCACCGTGTCGGCAAGCATCCGGTGGGCTAAAGTGTCTCTAAGCAGGACTCTTATTCTCCACCAGCTGCGCTGACTCTGCTTTATAGCTGACGCTGCACTGTGTCATCTACATCATGGAGGCAAATCGCTATGAAAAAATAGAACTCACCCCTGGAGATCAATAAAGTATCACATCATTGTGAGCTGATGGTGAGTTTTGTGTTTCCTGGAAGAAGTGGATTTCTCAGGCTGCGTGTTATGCGATATGATCGAAATTTCATACAAAAACACAAGGGGTTTAGCAGTGAAACTGTTTTATCGTGGAGGTGAAGCTTGCTTGCTTAAATATTGTTTGCTGCTTTGTGTG